TACAACTATTTGGGAAAAATGTAAAAATGTCTCCCAACTCAGCTACAATGATCGGACAAGTCAGTTACATGGACTAGATCAAGGAAAATTTTTAGTCCATGTATTTTCTAATCATATGGTAAAGTTGCTCCTGTAAGTGCTTGCACTGCCCTGGTAATGGATAGCCTTGTTTAAAACACAGAACAACTACCCTAACTACGTTGTCATGTCACAATGCCTTGCACACATTATTTTAGCCAAAAAGCCACCCGGTAGGCTACATTTGCACATTAGCACTATGCCATTGGCATATGGACTATTTGGCCTCACTCCCATGTGTCCTTGGACCTTAATGCTAACTCCTACTCTTGCCAAATGTCTATTTATGTCAACACCCTTGAAGCTCCCTTGAGTCAGTTGGTCAAGATTCCAAATTTTGCACAACTCAATTTACCTCCAAAGTTAACTCAAGCTTGTTGTCTGTACTGCTTGTCCATACATGTGTGCTGACAAAGGACCTTAGTCAAAGACCATAGTTTGCACACCGAAGTTTTATTTTATGACACCTAAAACGTCTAGTGTTGACATGAAGGGTCTATTCTTTGCATTGCAGTTTATTCAAGCAAGGTACTAGCTTCCACAACCTATGTTTGAACTAACTCATTTAGGGGTGTAACAAATCACTGCAACCAGAGAAGTCCAGAATTTTCGTTGGCTATTGATGAACATGTCTCCACAACTCTTGGAAAGGGATGATCTTGTCATTAAAGATCCGAAAATTCCTTGCAAGCCAGATGCTCCAAAGGCCAACAGAGAGTGCACCTTTTTTTAAGGGCTTAGCCTGTATCTATAGTCGCTCCCCTTTCAGAAAACAACTCATAAAGACCTCCACTATCAGGGGTTCACGTGACATAAATGAAAAGCCTTAACAATTTTTTCTAGGACCTCCAAGATGTATCACAGGGCAAGAACATTTATGAGTTTGTCTTCCCTGCAAAACATATCATGCATGTATTTGGAGACAGAGCTCGGTGAGGTCGCGGATTTGAAGCATCTTGTTTGTGTTTAGCTTCTGACGAATAGTAGTCAATGTGAATACCTTGACTTTGGAAGGAACTAGTGATTTCTAGAACTTGTTGGCCTTGTAAAATGGATTTTCATTTGGTATGGAAACGAGATGTTCAGAAAAGGATTTGCATGTAAATATGCCTAAAGATTTGAACGTCCATATCCTCATTTGAATTGGCTCAAAGAGATTAAGAAGGTTTGCTACATCAGAAGCCTCCCTATCAAAAAGGTTATTGGTGAAGTACAATTCTAGGTAATATTACATTCATTTTCAAAATGAATTATGAGACAGAATTATCATGTCTGGGGAACAAGTTGAATAGGCATGGGAAATCCTAATATTAGTTACACCTGAATATTTTACTATTATACCCTTACATAGTAAATTACTATATACACTACTTCTGACATCTATATTTTAGTAAAGTTAATGGATGCCATATCTTCTAGAGGCTTTTACGCTTTGATCGTTCTTCCTTTTATCTTTTCCTAGGATGACATTTTCCATCTATATTATAATATTTAAATTTGGTTAATTTCAAATGCACCCATCTTTGTAACTGTAAGAATGTATAAGGCAAATCAAACTTTATATAAATAGTCATGGTAATATATATAAAACCATGAGACAGCTTTGTTTATTATGAAAAACTAAGTTGCATTGTTATCCTACATGATCTTTCCAATTTTTGAATATTCCTTATTATTGTTTCAGCTTGCCTTTACAAATTGGAGTGGCGTTGTACCTTTTGTATACACAAGTCCAATTTGCTTTTGTTTGTGGACTCACTATAACCATTTTACTGATACCAGGTATTTGTTTGCTTATGGACTTAATTCGTCAATGGTATTTTTCTCAGTTATTTTATAGAGAATCTGTTTCTAGATGTTATTTCGTGTTCATGAGTGGTGGTACCATTTATGAGTGAAAGATGCATGAGAACCAGAAAAACTTTTTGTCTAGATTCGTAAATAACTTGATGAATGTAGTTACTTCTGTACCATTTGTTTGAGATGACATATTGAGTCCTTTTATTGTTTATAGTAGTAGCTTCTGCTTTTTACTGTATTATGACTTACGATAAAAGTAGT